ATGGTCACTCCTACAGCCCTTCTCAGACATCTCATTTCCGTGGTTACTAATTTTCTTTTATGGTTTGTTGTGAGTGACCATGTCTGGCACTGGTAGCACAGAGTTGGAATAAATATGCTTTGAATAAGATGTCTCTTTGTGCTGATTGGGATTGTCTTATGCTGTAAGAGGGGGGCTAGCTGTCCCAATACTTGGTTTGCTTTACTGCATCTAATGTTAATTTCTTTATCCAATTTTCCATCTTCGGTAAATGTAGTTTCCAGATATTTAAACTCAGATGCCTGTTTAATGCCTTTGCACTCTATTGCTATGTTAGGATCTGTCTTCTTTTTCCCTATTGACATTACTTCTGTCTGTTCAGTGTTGATTCTCATATTATTTGTTTTACATTCTTCATTCAGGGATGTTAGATGTTGTTGAAATTTCATGGCTGTATCTGCTATCAAGGCCTGGTCATCTGCAAAGAGTAATTCGTTGATCTTACTAACATTTTCATTCATGGGCTTGGCATTCTTGCATATACTGTCGATGTAGGTGATAAACAGCAGTGGTGATAAGACACACCCCTGTCTTACTCCAGATGTTACTGTGAATGGATGAGATGTTTCCTGATTTATTCTAACTACACTTCTACAATCCCTGTATAAACTTTTGCACACTTCGATGAGGTGTTCGCTTACTCCATATCTTGCCATTACTTTCCATAATAATTGTCTGTCGACTCTGTCAAATGCCTTCTCCAGGTCTACAAATGCCACAAATAAGTTCTCATTGTTTTCAATGTTCTTTTCTATTAACTGTTTAAGTGTGAAGATTGCATTTGTGCAGCTTATATTTCTCCTAAATCCCATCTGTTCTTCTGCCAGCTGTGGTTCTATCACTGGTCTCAGTGTTGTTTCTATTATCTTAGCATACATTTTGCCAACATGGCTTAAAAGAGAGATGCCTCGGTATTGACAGCATTCTCGTTTGCTTCCTCTGTTCTTCCACAATGGTATAACTATTGCATGTTGCCAATCAATAGGGGCAGTTTGTTGTACCCATGCTGCATTAAATATTATGTGAAGCCATCTGATACTGCTTTCACCTGCTGCTTGAATTATTTCTGTTGGTAATCTATCAGCTCCTGGTGCTTTATATTTGGGAGACTGCTTAATGACTTTTTCTATTTCATCCATTAGTATGTGTGGTTCTAACACTGTTGCTCTGTGCTCTTCAGTTGTTCTTTCCTGATGATCTCCTACAGGATTAAAGAGCTCATTGAAGTATTCCAAGCATCTTTCTGCTATCTCGGGTGGATCTATCAATGGCCTTCCTGTCTTATCATTAATTATTTCAGTTGGGTTGTAGCTCTCATCTCTTTTCCGCATATTTTTAACTACTTTGAAAATTTTTCTGCTGGCTGTTTTCTCATTTTCTGCTAATGACTCACCGAAACGTTCCCAGGATGCTTGTTTTGCTTTCTTGACACTCCTGTTGGTTTCTTTCCTTTGCAGTCTATAGTTTATATAATCTTCTCCTTTCTTTGATTTTATCCTCTGTTTATATAAGTCCTTTTTCTTTTTAATTGCTTCTTTTACTTCTTCGCACCACCAAGGTGAATATTTGTTTCAGCTTGTTCTCCTCTTTTAATTTTCAAAGTAATAATTCTATCTGAGTGATAATGTATGTCTAATATGTACTTAGATATGTCCGGATGCACCAGGAAACCCATTCCATTCTTCGATGTTCCTCCTCCTGCATACGTTAGTAAGTGGCCTCTGTGTATTTTCGTGTTACTATTTCCCTTGCGTCTTATGTCAGCTAGCCCCACTAACTTGATTTTCCTTTTTTTTCCATCATTTCAATAATCTTTTCTGTTTTATTTCCCAGGCCAGCGGTAAGGGCGTCGACGGTCGGAAAGCGTGGCCGGGGGATGGGGGAACTAGGGGCAGCTGTCAGCTGACAAATGTTCTATGGAGCTTAGTGTGCCTACAACATTTAGTGCACAATAATAATAACACCAACAAGCAGCGGTTAGAATAGATGGCGAGACATCAAATTGTGTTTGACATCAAGCAAAATCTGTTCTTGGATTTAAAGAAAACGAAAATAATGTTCACAGATAAAACTGGCTGCCGCCCAAAATTAACAATAAATGATGAAGAAATCGAAAATGTCACAAACTTGTAATGTCTAAGCTTTATAATAAATAGCAATGGAGACTGTTTGACAGAAATTAAAAGGAGGATGGCCATAGCAGTGCAAAGATTAAACAGCCCTACAAGTCTTTGGTTAAGCACCAGCAAGGAGATCAAATTAAGAACTTTAGGAGCATGCATCTTCCTGTAGAAACATACGGTTGTGAGTCGTGGACTATCTTCCAGTCCTTAAGAAAGAGAATGGGGGCTTTTGGGCTGAAATGCTATAGAAAGATTCTCAGAATATCTTGGACAAAGAAGAGGAGAAATATTGACATCTTAAAAGATCTGAACATCAAGGAAGATTGGCTAATAAACGTCATCCTGTCTCGGAAGCTGAAATATTTTGTTCATATCAAGCGCCACAACGGATTGGAAAAAAATTATAGCTGAAGGCATGGTACCAAGAGGGAGGGGCAGGGGCCGACCGACACGAAGATGGGAACAGAATATAAGTGACTTCTTGAATATGAAAGTACATGAGGCTTGAGAGCTGGCGAGAAACCGAGTTTCTGTCAGGCAGACCGTGATGAGAGCGACGTTCTGCAAAGGACCTGCTATATGATGACGATGACATGCATTAGAAGAGAGGAAGAGGAAGACAACATTGAAAATGGGTGCAGGATGTGGCGAATGATCTGCAGATGGGTGTAATGGACGCGGGACAACTTGATCGAGAAGTTTTTCAGAGGGTTGTTATGGAAGCAAGGTTCTGAGAGGGACATCTACTGACTGACTGGCTGAATTATAACAACAACAATAGCAAAGCGCTGAATAAATAAATAAAGTAAAGATCCCTCTTCACGCCTTTCGGCGCATCGGGCATATGGGCAGAGCGTCCCTAATTTTATCAGACCAATTGGCACTCGGTGGGTACTGTGGTCAGCATTACGCCGGCCGTCTTTACTTCCCCAGGACAACCATTCTGGTACCCATCTGAGGCTGGGTCGACCTGCGACGTCCCATACCACGATAAAAATCCACGCAGCCCGCAGTGGGTTTCGATCGCGGTACGTTGTATTACGTGTCGGACTCGCAACGCCTTAGCCACGGACGCCGCTAAAGCGCTGAATAGCAAATAAAATTCATTCATTCATTTTCCTGTCATGCCTTCACATGTCACATGGGTCTTGCCGTGTATTTACCCATTCCGCTTTCTTGTGCAGTCCATTCGATATGATTATCTTGGGTATGGTCCAGTCAATCACCATTGGCTTTTCTCGTTAACGTTGGCACTATGGTTTTTGTTGAACTTCCTCCTACCTCGGTCCATCTATTTTCCAGGTCAATACGTCTGTACTGATTATATGTTCGTCTCTTATTAGAACGTGTCAAGTTTGGCACCATCTTCTCTATCTTACAAATGTGGCTACTAGTGGTTGTAGCGCCATCTTCTCTGCCTTGAAACTGTTGTTACTGGTGGTTGTAGCGCCATCTTCTCTGCCTTAAAATTGTTGTTACTAGTAGTTGTAGCGCCATCTTCTCTGTCTTATAACTGTTGTTACTGGGGGTTGTAGCGCATCTTCTCTGTCTTATAACTGTTGTTACTGGTGATTATAGCGCCATCTTCTCTGTCTTATAACTGTTGTCACTAGTTGTTGCCCAGACATTTCTCCAAATTTACCCTCACCTTTTAAAATTCATCCCATTTTATGTTTATCCTTTTTTTTTCACATACATTTGTTTCAGAATGCATTTAACTTTCATTCCTTCTTTTTCTTCTTCTTCTCACCCCCCTCCCCTCTTCTTCTTCTTTATCTTTCTGTCAGAAAACGTATATCAGAAGGCCGGTAGCCTTTATGAAAGCTATATTATATACCATACAGTTTTATCTTTATTGTGGTTGGAACAGGCCAGATTGCGTCTCTGTTGTCAGCATACAGTTGGCAGTGTTGGAGCCCATGCTCGGCATTTTCGGGTGCCACGCTGCAGGGATACGTCTCCGTATTTCCTACACGGAAAAATGTGAACATATGTTGACGAAGTCTGTTGTGCCCTGTCTTTAGTCTGAATATAAAACTTTGTGCGATAAAACGAATCTTGAGGAGATAATTTGGTGTGTGTATCGTCATTATTGGTTCTCAACTTCCACTGGCATATAAAACTCTAAATAAGATTAGAATTGAAAATAAGTAACTCGGTTCTACAACTATTTAGTTTAGAGTTCCATATTTTGTTCAGGCTTTTAAAAGTTGCTCATGTCTAAAATGATGTCTTTAATGTTGGGTGTGATTATTTCTTTCTTTGTGTTTGCTTTACTACCAACATTACTACCTAAATAAATAACTTCATACGTTACCTCAATTTTTATTTGTCTTTAGCGTTACATCTGCTTTTCGTAACTTTGTGTGTGTGGTGGGACAAGAAGGGGGGGGGGGGGGGGGGGGGGGGGGGGGGGGGGGGGGTTAAACTTTTGATGTGTTTTTTTCTTCCCTAAATCATGTCATTGCTGTGCTCACTAAGTAGAACAATATCATTTGCAATATGTAGATCTTGCAACTATTTAACAGCAAAAGGCTTGTAAAAGAAAAATAACATATAACACTTAGTTACAGCGTGAAAACAGGGAAGTCTGAAGGAAATGCGGGAGAATGGGAGAGAAAGAGGATGTTTGGTGGTTTGGCAATATGATATGGAACCAAATATGAAACAAACAATAATTGTCATAAGTTAAATTTGCTATTAGATGTCAGCAAAATGACGAAAAGTAGTTGAAGGAAGAGAAGTTGACGCAAGTAATTTTAAGGCACCTGATGATGCTGAACTTGCCCTGTTTCTGGTCTTCAATGCACGAGAGCTCTGTCATTGTCATCAAACAAGATGGCTGTTGTAAAACACGCTGAAGTTTTTCAGCAAGGGGCAGAGGCCAGATTGTACAGATGTGGCTTCTACGGCCGTCCTTGTATTGTCAAGAAGAGGTTTGTGAAGAAGTACAGGCACCCGACACTGGACACGTCTCTGTCGTCACAAAGAGTCAAATCTGAAGTGCGGGCCAATCTCAGATGCAGGATGGCCGGTATTATTTTAGTGTAGTAGTAGGCTATTGCCTATTTATTTGTTATATTTACTAATTACTATTTAATTTAGTTTTTTTTAAAGAAAATGATTATAATTTACAACCCCTTGGAGAAAGATACCCGGCGTCGGGTGACTCCCCATGCAGGTCCGGTCTCAGGTTCAAGCCAGGGAATGGCAGAAAAGCTGCATACTTTCTAGATTAACGGTTTACGTCCGAGGATGAATGAAGGTCTTCGATGCTCACGACACTGAGACAAAAGAGGGCTATCCTCTGAATAACGGCCACATATTATAGTGGCCAAAAACACACCCTAACAGAGCCTCAGTCACATGTAAATTGCGAACTTCCTCCGACGAACACATCGTGGCAAAATTAGGATTACTGTCCGTTGACAATTTCGCCGGTAGCGACGCGGGAGATACTTTCTGCGATGTAAACTGCGCCACCAATCATATTTAGCCGAATTTCAATGGCGCCACAGCCACAAAGAGCAGATTTTCGGGCACTATTTGCAACTTTGGATAGCCTTAGAAAAACGGGTACATATTATGGCAGCCAGAAAATTCCCTAACAGGACCTCAGTCACATTTACATTGCGGACTTCTGCCACCGCCGAGAGTATCTCCCACACCGCTATGCGCAAATAAAATGCAGGAGATGTTGTAGCTGTTGCTCATGAGTTCCAGCCATTTAGTTCAGCCCCGCTACGCGCAGCGTGGGAGATACTCTCGGCGGTGGCGGTAGTCTGCACTTCTGACTTCATTACTTGTTCCTAAAGGGGTCTGACCACATCTGCCTTGTCATGTATCAATTCACCACCCAGCGGTGCAGACCTAGCTAATCTGTCTGCCTGTTTATTCTCAACCACACTGGTATACCTTGAGAAAAGATCCAAATTATGCTTACTACCCTTAACCATGCACCCACTCTGCTCAACATATTGAACAAAACAGATCCATATACATCAATAATTTGATCTTTAATGCCGATTCTTGGATGACATTTAAATATCTCACAAAACAGCAAGCATCTGCATTCCATGCCTTCGTGAACCAGACACACAAGAACCTATTATTACAGCATTAAAACAAGCATATTTTATCATTAAATGTAGACAGGCAGGCACTACAAAGGTACATGGACTGGCCAGTACATAGGAACCGCAAGTAGAACCACCCATGAACCAGTACTAGAACCACCCATGAACCAGTAGTAGAACCACTCATGAACCAGTAGTAGAACCACCCATGAACCAGTAGTAGAACCACCCATGAATCAGTAGTAGAACCACCCATGAACCAGTAGTAGAACCACCCATGAACCAGTAGTAAAACCACCCATGAACCAGTAGTAGAACCACCCATGAATCAGTAGTAGAACCACCCATGAACCAGTAGTAGAATCACCCATGAGCCAGTAGTAGAAACACCCATGAACCAGTAGTAGAACCACCAAAGAACCAGTAGTAGAACCACCCATGAACCAGTAGTAGAACCACCCATGAGCCGCTAGTAGAACCACCCATGAACCAGTAAAAGAACCACCCATGAACCAGTAGTAGAACCACCCATGAGCCGCTAGTAGATCCACCCATGAACCGCTAGTAGAGCCACCCATGAACCGCTAGTAGAACCACACATGAGCCATTAGTAGAACCACCCATGAACCAGTAGTAGAACCACCCATGAGCCAGTAGTAAAACCACCATGAGCCAGTAGTAGAACCACCCATGAGCCGCTAGTAGAACCACCCATGAGCCAGTAGTAGAATCACCCATGAACCAGTAGTAGAACCACCCATGAACCAGTAGTAAAACAACCATGAGCCAGTAGTAGAACCACCCATGAACCAGTAGTAGAACCACCCATGAACCAGTAGTAGAACCACCCATGAACCAGTAAAAGGACCACCCATGAACCAGTAGTAAAACCAACCATGAGCCAGTAGTAGAACCACCCATGAACCAGTAAAAGAACCACCCATGAACCAGCAGTAGAACCACCCATGAACCAGTAGTACAACCACCCATGAACCAGTAGTAGAACCACCCATGAACCAGTAAAAGAACCACCCATGAACCAGTAGTAGAACCACTCATGAACCAGTAAAAGAACCACCCATGAACCAGTAGTAGAACCACCCATGAACCAGTAAAAGAACCACCCATGAACCAGTAGTAGAACCACCCATGAACCAGTCAAAGAACCACCCATGAACCAGTAAAAGAACCACCCATGAACCAGTAGTAGAACCACCCATGAACCAGTCAAAGAACCACCCATGAACCAGTCAAAGAACCACCCATGAACCAGTCAAAGAACCACCCATGAACCAGTAGTTTCTGTCCTCCCTGCTGTTTGTGTCTCCAGTACTGACACCCAGTAAATGTTGACATTTCTGCCCCAGCTGCTGTTTATGTTCTTGTACTCAGGCTGGTTGGGGGATAAAAAGGCAGAAGAAGAAAGAAGAAGACTCAGGCTGGTTACTTTACTCAACAGGTATCCCTACTCAGACTGGTTACTTTACTCAACAGGTATCCCTACACCAACCATTTACTTGGTTGACACTGGCAGCAACAGCATCTATATGGAAGAGATTCTAGATGCCGTCACCGTCAGAAGCTACATTTCTAAAGTTCAAGATGCTGACGGAAACTGTGCAGATGTCAGGCTGAATCCACTGGCTGAAGCCATCGGATGTTTGCTGGGCAGAATGCATGACAACAACATCATACACGGAGATTTGACCACCTCGAACATGCTCTTGCAAGGTGACCCATCTGATCTCAACCTTGTGCTCATTGATTTTGGTCTCAGCTCGTGTGAAGCGTCAGCCGAAGACAAAGGTGTCGACCTATATGTGCTGGAACGGGCCTTCTTGAGCTCTCACCCCCACAGTCAGGAGCTGTTTAAGACAATACTGACTTCGTACAGTGCTGCTGCAAGCAGTGGCAGCAAATGTAGTGAGGCCCTGGCCAAGCTGGAGGAGGTGAGACAGCGAGGGAGGAAGAGGACAATGGTTGGTTGATGTTAGAAATAGCCTAGATTTATAACACTTGTTCCCCATGTGGGTTCTGGAGGCCCTATTGTGTGTGTGTGGGGGGGGGGGGGTGGGACCAGAAAATACCCACTGCCTCTCCGACAAAATGTCATAGGAGTTGACTAATTGAGAGGGGGGGGGGGGGCATCCATTGAAGTCAGAGTGCATCTGCCATAGAGGTAAGGAACCAACAGTCTGCAAACATATAAGCTAGATCTGTAAAACTGATGTGCACTCAACACTCAGGTTCTGGAACGAGTAAAGTCAGGATGTGGACGATCCACCAGAACTTTCCGCCCCAGTGAACACGAAGAAGAAGATTACAGTTACTGTGCTTATCAGTGCTGGTGTCATTCAGGCACATTCCATTCGTCCTTTTCATCATTCTAAGCCATTTAGGTTCATAAATAATTTCACTCTCTGGTTGGCCTTCTTTTTGCAGTTGGTGACACCAAATGTTTGTAGGTCTTTTTGGATATTATTTTTTGGTCTACCTCGTTCTCTACGACTATTCAGCTCCCTTGTGTATACAGTTTTTAACCTCTCCGTCCAAGATGCCCCAGATATTTCATACTGTTAGCTCTCATGATGCCAGTGATCAATGCACCAATGGTGATTTAAATAGATTATGAATTTTGTTGATGCTTTTCACTATTCAGTCGCCTGCATTCTGCGTTGTTGATGGGTCCAAGTAATTGCCGAAAATTGTGTAATGAGGCTTCTCTCTTTTAGTTGTTCTCCATATTTGAGAGCTGTATAAATCAGCTGGCCTTATCAACATTTTATGTATTTTTGATCTTGGTGTTACAAGACAGAGACTTTGATTTTAGCAAATAAAGATGTTACATTTCATCAGTTATCGTTTTCTGATGTCTAATGAGAGGGATTTATGACATCAGATACTTCTCAGGTACATGTCATGATAAGAGTGACCTCCCTTCCCATTGATGAGAGGGATTTATTACATCAGGTACATGTGATGATAAGAGTGACCTCCCTTCCCATTGATGAGAGGGATTTATGACATCAGATACTTCTCAGGTACATGTGATGATGAGAGTGACCTCCCTTCCCATTGATGAGAGGGATTTATTACATCAGATACTTCTCAGGTACATGTCATGATAAGAGTGACCTCCCTTCCCATTGATGCCTGGATCTGGTGTAGCGTCTGTACTATGTGGGAGGGGCTTCAGGTGTAGTGAGCCGTATTTTGTTCCTTTTTGTCAACGGCGGGCAACATCGCGTCTTCTATGCTGTCCTAAAACATGTACAACTGGGCCTAACCCCAGTCCCCCCCCCTCCCCCAATGCCACTCCACAGCCTCACGACTGTATGCTGCCTCTATTATATGCTACATAAAGTTGTGTGACCTAGGATACATCCCTGCAACATAGTACAGGACCAACACCACATCTAGGCATCGGTGGAAAGGGAGGTCACTCTTATCCTTGGGTCTCTTAACGTGATTAGAACCACTTTTGATCTTCTGAAATGCTTCTTTTGCCTGGTCAATTCTGCTCTAAATTTCTGTCACACATCGTCCAACTGATGTTACGAATGTCCTCAAAAACTTTAATTTATTGACTTGGTTAAGAAGCACTTTCCATTCTGTTGCTATGTCACATTGTGGAGTTTTCTTCTTTGATATAACCATTGTTTCTGTTATCTTCACATTCAAGGAAAGTATCTATTTGTTTGGAGCTCTCTGGTACCACAATGTTTAATAGTTGTTGTAGGTCTTCTACATTTTCAGCTATTAATACTGAATCCACCGAATAACGAATATTTTTTATTTTATAATCCCTCACTAGTATTCTTGGCCTATCCTTTTATTTTATAACCTCTCACTAGTATTCTTGGTGTATCCTTAACCTCCCTCAATTTTATTTCACTGTAGAGAGAGAAGAGACCCGGTGACAAAACACATCCTTGTCCAATCCTTGTTTTATCTGTTCATAACTGCCTACTTTATTTCCCAATTTAATTGCTGCTTCCAGTGAATATTTTTTATTATTCTGAGATCTTTTCCATCAGTGTTAATATCCTCTAACAATTGTATTATGTCATCATGTTTGCCTTTATCAAAAGCTTGGGTATAATCTATGAAGCACAAATATATGTCTTTCTGTTTCTCCATTGATCTCTCTACTAAAGTCCACAATGTGTATATGCCTTATTTGTACCTTTCCCTTCTTAAAAAACCATTCTGTTCTTCAGTAATGACTTTTTTTGTTTTCTTGTTAACATTATAATCTGAGTAACAGTTTGGTGACATCATTTATGAGGTTGATTGTACAGAATTCATCACATTCACTTGGCCCAGGTTTTTTGGGCAGTGCTGCAAAAACAGACTGCAACATATTTAGCTGAAGTTCATAATGTTTACTGTTATTTATTTTCAGCTAGATGAATCAAATGATGTATGGAAGTAGGAAGATTCGAAAGGCAGAATGTTATACATGCCTGTGTGCCCAATTCTAAACCCTTGGAAATACACGTTTTTATTTTAAATTCATTTTTTCGTTTCTACATTTCACGGTATAACTCTGTGATCATGTAATAATACAGATGCGGTGAGGCTGTGAACAACAACTGTGGCTGTCTTTCTTTAGTTTGAAGGATCAGTAATTTGTGACATGTTTGTTTAACTGTGAGATAACCACCAGCACAATGTATGGAAACAAGCTGCAGTTCTTCATGTAGTGCCCCGTGTTTGAAAGTGGTTAGGTGGGACAGCACAGAAAAAGAGTTGGGGTAGTTATTGAATTCAGTTATATTTCTCACTTTATGAAAATACATCCACATACGAGATAACTGGAACAGTACACCCACATAGAAGATGATAACTGCAACATTACACCCACATAGAAGATAATAACTGGAGCATTACGCCCACATACAAGATAATAACTGGAACATTAGATCCACATAGAAGATGATAAGTGAAACATTACACCCACATAGAAGATGATAACTGGAATATTACACCCACATAGAAGATGATAACTGGAACATTAGGCCCACATAGAAGATGATAAATGGAACAGTACACCCACACAGAAGATGATAACTGGAACAGTACATCCGCATAGAAAATAACTGGAACATTACACCCACATAAAAGATAATAACTGGAACAGTACACCCACATAGAAGATAATAAATGTAGAAGATAATAACTGGAACAATACACCCACATAGAAGATAATAACTGGAACAGTACATCCGCATAGAAAATAACTGGAACATTACACACACATAAAAGATAATAACTGGAACAGTACACCCACATAGAAGATGATAACTGCAACAGTACACATGGAACATTACACCCACATAGAAGATAATAACTGGAACATTACACCCACACATAAGATAATAACTGGAACATTACACCCACATAGAAGATAATAACTGGAACATTACACCCACATATAAGATGATAACTGGAACAGTACACATGGAGCATTACACCCACATACAAGATAATAACTGGAACATTACACCCACATACAAGATAATAACTGGAACATTACACCCACATACAAGATAACTGGAACATTACACCCACATAGAAGATGATAACTGGAACATTACACCCACATACAAGATAATTACTGGAAAAGTACATTTATATGCAAGATAATAATTTGAATATTACATCCACATACAAGATAATAATTTGAATATTACATCCACATACAAGATAATAACTTAAACATTACATCCACATAGAAGATAATAACTGGAACATTACACCCACATACAAGATAATAACTGGAAAAGTACATTTATATGCAAGATAATAATTTGAATATTACATCCACATACAAGATAATAATTTGAATATTACATCCACATACAAGATAATAACTTAAACATTACATCCACATAGAAGATAATAACTTGAACATTACATCCACATACAAAATAATAACTTGAACATTACATTCAAATGCAAGATAACAGTCGAACACAATCTGTAATCAAATAAAACAGCTGGGAACAGTTAATTGAAAAATGTTTTATTTACAATATGAAAACCTTCAGGCTGTTTTCTCATGAACCACCAAGTTACAAGATATTTGTGTGTGTGCCTCAAACATCTACCTTCACCATGTATTTCAACTATCTGCCTCAAGGCCCTTACACAATCATCACAGAAACATTTCATCTGAAACAAGCTGTCAGGTTTTGTGGACGACGAGCATAAGTTACAGCCAACATCACAGACAGAGAAATGGCCATGGCTTGGTTAATGGTGAACATTATCTAAGAATTGGATGAGTGGGTGATATGAACTATAACCACATAACTTTACTGCCATGGCATATGATATTTAGGCAGGGTTAGTGGCCTATCTAAGCAGGAAGTTATATTTCCTGCTCCGCTAACAAGTCTGACAAATCTCCCCGGCACATGGCCACAAATATTTTGGCCAGGTTGGCTTGAGTAGCCTGATGTGGATTCTCTCTCTGCCATCGAGACAGTATCTGGTAATTCAGTTCGCTCATGTTATCTCTGTAATCATGCTGCATCTGCTCCAACAATGCATCATCAAATTTAAAACGGCGTCCAAGATCTTTCCAGTCGCGTCCAAGTCGATCTTTGATGTCCAGCAGCTGGTCAAGTGTAACTGGTTCTGCAGATTCTGGACAGAGAAAAATTACAACAAGTGTTAGATAACACCAGCCATCATCACAAGTAAATAACCAGTCATTTATATTCAACTTAGATAACATCATCTAACGTCAACAATAAATAACCAGTCATTTATATTCAACTTAGATAACATCATCTAACAACAACAATAAATAACCAGTCATTTATATTCAACTTAGATAACATCATCTAACAACAACAATAAATAACCAGTCATTTATATTCAACTTAGATAACATCATCTAACGTCAACAATAAATAACCAGTCATTTATATTCAACTTAGATAACATCATCTATCGTCAACAATAAATAACCAGTCATTTATATTCAACTTAGATAACACCATCTAACGTCAACAATAAATAACCAGTCATTTATATTGAACTTAGATAACATCATCTAACAACAACAATAAATAACCAGTCATTTATATTGAACTTAGATAACATCATCTAACAACAACAATAAATAACCAGTCATTTATATTGAACTTAGATAACATTATCTAACAACAACAATAAATAACCAGTCATTTATATTCAACTTAGATAACATCATCTAACAACAACAATAAATAACCAGTCATTTTTATTGAACTTAGATAACACCATCTATCGTCAACAATAAATAACAAGTCATATATTTGTAACCTTGATGGCACCATCATTCGTGGAAAATAAAAAGTTACTTATATCTAACTTAGATGGCACAACTCAGTATAAATATTACTGACATCTCAATATCACAGCTTTTGCTTTAGTCTCCTTTTTTGGCTGTCCAATGCAAATGTTTCAGATAAATTACACAGAGTCTGTCAAAGATAAGTTACAGTGTCTGTCAAAGATAATCACACAGGATCTGTCAAAGATAAGTCACACAGTGTCTGTCAAAGATAAGTCGCACAGTGTCTGTCAAAGATAAGTCGCACAGTGTCTGTCAAAGATAAGTCACATAGTGCCTGTCAAAGATAAGTCACAGTGTCTGTCAAAGATAAGTCACAGTGTCTGTCAAAGATAAGTCACACACTCTGTCAAAGATAAGTTACACAGTTTCTGTCAAAGATAAGTCACACACTCTGTCAAAGATAAGTTACACAGTGTCTGTCAAAGATAAGTCAGTGTCTGTCAAAGATAAGTCACAGTGTCTGTCAAAGATAAGTCACACAGTGTCTGTCAAAGATAAGTCACACAGTGTCTGTCAAAGATAAGTCACACACTCTGTCAAAGATAAGTCACACAGTGTCTGTCAAAGATAAGTCACACAGTGTCTGTCAAAGATAAGTCACACAGTCTGTCAAAGATAAGTCACACAGTGTCTGTCAAAGATAAGTCACACAGTGCCTGTAAAAGATAAGTCACACAGTGTCTGTCAAAGATAAGTCACACAGTCTATCAAAGATAAGTCACACAGTGTCTGTCAAAGATAAGTCACACAGTGTCTGTCAAAGAGAAGTCACACAGTGTCTGTCAAAGATAAGTCGCACAGTGTCTGTCAAAGATAAGTCACACAGTCTGTCAAAGATAAGTCACACAGTCTGTCAAAGATTAGTCACACAGTGTCTTTCAAAGATAAGTCACAGTGTCTGTCAAAGATAAGTCACACAGTGTCTGTCCAAGATAAGTCACACAGTCTGTCAAAGATAAGTCACACAGTGTCTGTCAAAGAAAAGTCACACAGTGTCTGTCAAAGATAAGTCACACAGTGTCTGTCAATGATAAGTCACACAGTAAGTCACGCACAGTCTGTCAAAGATAAGTCAAACAGTCTGTCAAAGATAAGTCACACACAGTCTGTCAAAGATAAGTCACACACAGTGTCTGTCAAAGATAAGTCACACATAGTCTGTCAAAGATAAGTCACACACAGTCTGTCAAAGATAAGTCACACAGTCTATCAAAGATAAGTCACACAGTATCTGTCAAAGATAAGTCACACAGTCTATCAAAGATAAGTCACACAGTATCTGTCAAAGATAAGTCACACACAGTCTGTCAAAGATAAATCACACACAATCTGTCAAAGATAAGTCACACAGTGTCTGTCAAAGATAAGTCACATAGTGTCTGTCAAGGATAAGTCACACACAGTCTGTCAGAGATAAGTCACAGTCTGTCAGAGATGAGTCACACAGAGTCTGTGAAAGATAAGGAAACAATAGCTTTAGGTGACTTACTAGTGACAGGTTTTCGTGGTTTGATATTTTTCTTCTTATATCCCTCGGAGCCCATGTAGACAGTCATCTTGCCATTAAACTGTACATTTGCAGCGCTGTGTATCTGGGTGTAGAAACCTTTGGCAGGGTCTGTCAAAACAGTCAGTTAATTATTTGTATATTACATACTGGTGACCTCATTCTAAAAACTGGAGCAGCATCAGATATACATGAAGAGTAATAAACACATCTTTATTCACACTGGCTAGATTTGTAATCACAAGACAGTAATATGGTAACATGTAATCATAAGACAACAGTTTGGCTACTCGTGTAATCACAAGAAGGGTAATATGGCCACCAGCGTAATCACAAGACAACAATATGGCTACATGTGTAATCACAATAGAGAAATATGACTACATGAATAATCACAAGACAGTTATTTGGCTACATATGTAATCACAAGACTGTAATATGGCTACAAGTATAATCACAAGTCAGTATTATGAATATAGAAGAGACTGCAAGATTACTACTACAGTAAGAAGTAACTGGCAGGACTACAAGATTGACACTGTAAAGTAACTGGCAGGACTACAAGATAGGCACTGTTAAGTAACTGGGAGGACTAAAAGATTGCCACTGTAAAGTAACTGGTAGGACTACAAGAAAGGCACTGTAAAGTAACTGGCAGGACTACAAGATTGGCACTATAAAGTAACTGGGAGGACTACAAGATTGACACTATAAAGTAACTGGGAGGACTACAAGATTGACCTATAAAGTAACTGGGAGGACTACAAGATTGACACTATAAAGTAACTGGCAGGACTACAAGATTGGCACTGTAAAGTAACTGGGAGGACTACAAGATTGACCTATAAAGTAACTGGCAGGACTACAAGATTGACACTATAAAGTAACTGGCAGGACTACAAGATTGGCACTATAAAGTAACTGGGAGGACTACAAGATTGGCACTGTAAAGTAACTGGCAGGACTACAAGATTGGCACTATAAAGTAACTGGGAGGACTACAAGATTGGCACTGTAAAGTAACTGGGAGGACTACAAGATTAGCACTATAAAGTAACTGGGAGGACTACAAGATTGATACTATAAAGTAACTGGGAGGACTACAAGATTGACACTATAAAGTAACTGGGAGGACTACAAGATTGGCACTGTAAAGTAACTGGGAGGACTACAAGATTGCCACTGTAAAGTAACTGGGAGGACTACAAGATTAGCACTGTAAAGTAACTGGGAGGACTACAAGATAGGCACTGTAAAGTAACTGGGAGGACTACAAGATTAGCACTGTAAAGTAACTGGGAGGACTACAAGATTGACACTGTAAAGTAACTGGGAGGACTACAAGATTGGCACTGTAAAGTAACTGGGAGGACTACAAGATTGCCACTGTAAAGTAACTGGGAGGACTACAAGATTGACACTATAAAGTAACTGGCAGGACTACAAGATAGGCACTGTAAAGTAACTGGGAGAACTACAAGATAGGCACTGTAAAGTAACTGGCAGGACTACAAGATTACTACTATAAGTAAACAGGTAACATTCCAAGATTGCTGCCATAAAGTAACTTGAAAGATTCTAAGATTGCTGCCATAAAGTAACTTGAAAGATTCCAAGATTACTGCCATAAAGTAACCCCAACCCACCTACGTTCCACAAGAGAGTGCAGCCTAAGTCCTACGACTGCATGCAGCCTATCTACCACCCCCTGAAATATTAGACTGCCCCATGGGACAGTTCAACATGTTGTTTGGAAAAAATGCAAGAGGTGAAGGCATGTTCACATTGGGTACCACGGATTTAGCAGATGCAAACACAATAAATGCGGTCAAAACTTGGTTCAGTGAGCAACCACAATTCATTTTTGTGGACAGCATGCACTGCCTAACCAAGCCCAGGGATTATTGCCTAAGTGCATACAGCAACTTATTCTTACCAGTCTCAGGTGCATCATTTTTTTCAAAATTATTGCTTTGTTTAATTTTGCCACACATGTTGATGTTTCTTTCATACCTTTGTAACAAAGTTGACTGGAATGGGTTTCCGATAAATGTTCCTTATAATACTGTTTGGGAGTCAGTATGTTTCAGTATTTGGATCCTGAACAATGTCAGTTTTTCTTCTTTGGTCCAGACATCTAAGAATATCACTGTGACATTTCACTTTAGATACACACACATTGGTTTTTGTTTCGTTGCCGGCTCAGAATTGTTTTTTGTTCCGCAGCTTTGACTGCTGTGCAGGGCTGCCAATACGTGCGTTTTCCCCCATGATCTGTGTCTTTATATGATGCCTTAAGTTCAGATTTTAAAACTTTGTTTCCCTTTTATATAAATCTATATATCTATATAACTATATCTATATCTATATATATATATATATATATATATATATATATATATATATATATATATATATATATATATATATATATATATATATATATATATGTATATATATATACTTTTATTTAAAAATATATCCTTACATAACTTTGAGCAAATTTTTCCATTCGTAACTATAAATTGTATACTATTTAACAATCTTCGGTTTTTGTTTTGTTTTTTGCTTATGTAGTGCTTGGGTGTTTTGGTTAGCTTAGCTTGGGTTTTCATACACATCCCGTTGGCAGTCCTGCTGTCGACCTCCCACATCTGCGTCGAGCTGTATGCCGACCGTTCTTCGCTGATTGCTTTCATATTGTCACACCCCATTGCATTCTAATACGTGCAGGTTGTTATATAAGAGTGTTGCACAAAGCCTGGGTACCATAGCTTTCAGTTGGCAGAAATGCAAACTTATTGTTTGGGATGAATGCGCACAAAATTGCTAGAGGCTCCTGATCAATTATTGCAATATCTGCACTGAGACATCAGGCTATTTTGGAACGCATTAAATATTGTTTGCAGGAGATTTCAGGCAAACATTACCTGTAATTCCATAGTTCTTCACCGATTGTTTTCACATTTTGACACAATGTTGCATTCAGATTTGCGAGTGGTTTGATATAAGTGTCGCACAAAGTATGAACTACGTAGCTCCCTTAACGATCACATTTTGGTTTGGTTTTTAAACGATCCTATTTTTGTTTCACTGACGGGTTATTGGCAAACTTTGACTGCTAACCTCAAAAATCTGCATGAAGCTGTATGAGATAAAAAATTATGTGGTAATTATGACACTGGCAGCACCACTTCTCATTAAAATTCATGCTACCTATTTTAGTCTGGGTGGACATGGATGCCAAGGTTTAAATCCTTCAGAATGGGAAAGGCTAAACCGGTCAACAAATGCCCGCAGAAGTCGGATGTGTTGGCCGAAAAATATTGCAGCCATGCTGTAAACGGACATAACGCAATTACATCTTTGAATGAACGCAGAAGAAGAAATCCTTCAGAGAGGGAGAGAGATGAGTCAGTTTAGGCAGAGGGGGGGGGGGGGGGGGATAACAGACACTTTTAACTAAGAGAGCTTAAAACTCGATTGAACAGGTCTCATATTTTTAATTATTTAAATTTTAATAATGCTTCCTAAGCCATTCTAATTTCTGTTGCACATTTTTTTTGGTCATTTAAAAGTACGGTACTAAACTTTACTTTCAGCTTTAAAAAAAATTTAATAAGCAATAAACAATTAACTATTTGTTAAAGTATAAATAAAACAAATTAAACCACCACTAATATAAAGGCCTGTTCTAGATTTGGCAACCCAGACAATCTCTGTATCTGCACAGACAATAATTGTGATATTCACCATATTAGACATGTGCGCTTTCTATTTTCTTTCTGTTTCATTTGGCCAGACTGAGCCCCAGCAACGTGTGGCGGGTACCGCTAGTATGAAATAAAAGTGAACAAAACATCTGCGTCAGATTTCTCAAAAGCTTGTCAAACATATTTCATAAACAGTACCTGAATAAATAATAGGCTGTGGGTTTGTTCCTTCCGAGTCCACCTTAGCTATCTCTCGACCACCATGGGCCATTGAAAAACCTGCAGAAACAAACTTGACAAAATTGCTAACATCATCTGCCTATGAGAGGTCATCACAGAATATTCATACACCAGTTGTCACAACACATAAACACACCAGTTGTCACAACACATATGTACATACTAGTTATCACAACATGCATACACACCAGTTGTCACAACACACATGTACATACCAGTTATCAAAACATTCATACACATTAGTTGTCACAACACATATGTACATACGAGTTATCAAAACATGCATACACACCAGTTGTCACAACACACAAACACACCAGTTGTCACAACACACACACACCAGTTGTCACAACACATATGTACATACCAGTTATCACAAAATGATTACACACCAGTCGTCACAACACTCATACACACCAGTTGTCAAAACACATATGCACACACTAGTTTTCCAACATGCATACACACCTGTTGTCACAATACACAAACACACCAGGTGTCACAAAACATATACATCGTTTGTCACAACACATAAACACACACTACTTATCACAAGACACACACACCCACACTAGTTGTCACAACACATATGTACATACCAGCTCTCACAAAATGCATACACACCAGTTGTCACAACACACACACACACACACCAGTTGTCACAACACACACAGACACACACACACCAGTTGTCACAACATACACACCAGTTGTCACACCACACATACACTAGTTGTTAATGTTCTAGCCAGCCCCAGAGACAAGTCTACACGAACTAAACATCACAGTCAGAGGTAAAGCACTAAAAACAGTAGATAGATTTACATGTCTTGGCAGCCGACTCCCACAGAAAGTTAACACTGGTCTAGAGATCAATACAAGGAGATTCACAGCCAGCAGCACATTTGGTCGACTTGTTACAAAAGTCTGGAATAGAGCTGACATCAGCCTGCAGATGAAGCTCACAGTGTACAAAGCTGTTGTACTTCCTGTACTTCTTTATGCATGTGAAACAATGACTGTTTACCAGTGTCATGCTAAGAAGCTAAACCATTTTCCTGCCCCAGAAATTTGCTAAACGTAAAATGGCAAGACAGGATCCCTGACACTGAAGTCCTTGATAGAGCTGGAGGATCCCTGACACTGAAGTCCTTGATAGAGCTGCAGGATCCCTGACACTGAAGTCCTTGATAGAGCTGCAGTGTCCAGTATTTACAAGATTCTAAAACAATCACAACTTCGCTGGGCAGGTCCACCCACTGCCAAAAGAGAATTTTCTATGGTGAGCTACAAAAAGGAAAACGATTTCAAGGTGGACAGAAAAAACCTTTAAAGGACAGCCTCAAAGCCTCACTGAAAGACTTTTGTATTGATCCGAAAACTTGAGAAGTCGCTGCATGTGACCGCTCATCCTGGCACTTCTCTCTTCACTGAGGAGCTGTGGCCCATGAAGCTGCTAAAACTGCAGTAGCAGTTAAGAAAAGACAAGCCAGGAAAGACACTGAAGCAAACCACCAGAGAGATGCGGCTTCTATTCCCTGTCTACACTGCTCAAGAACTGTCAGTGCTAGAATTGGTCTTATCAGCCGTATGTCTGTGCACTCACAAAACCTCATCCAGTCACCATTGGATGAAAGGACTGGTCATCATCACTTGTGATGGACGAACAACAACACCAGTTGTCACAACATGCATACACCAATTGTCACTACATACATTACCAGTTGTCACAGCACACACCAGTTGTCACAACATGCATACACCAATTGTCACTACATACATTACCAGTTGTCACAGCACACACCAGTTGTCACAACACATAAACACACACCAGTTGTCACTACATACATTACCAGTTGTCACAGCACACACCAGTTGTCACAACACATAAACACACACCAGTTCTAACTACATAAATTTCAGGTTGTCACAGCACACACCCATTGTCACAACATCTAAACACACACCAGTTGTCACAACACAAACACAGCTATTGTCACAACATATAAACACTCACCAGTTGTCAAACACACAACTATTGTCACAACACATAAACACACACCAGTTGTCACAACACAAACATACACCCATTGTCACAACATATAAACACACACCAGTTGTAACAACATACACACTTATTGTCACAACACATAAACACATACCAGTTGTCACAACACATAAACATACACCAGTTGTCACAACACATTGTATAAGATCACTTGTGGCAAAACTACACAGGGTCACACCACTTAACTGTATATTCAGACACTAACCATCACAGAACATTGCATTTGTGTTACTGATCGATTATTTGATATCAACTGTTGTGTCAAAATGCCACACATGAACAATGAACATATATTTGAGTGGGATGAATCTGAGCTAGCCTGCCGGAGGTACGGGAAGTGGTGTAAAGTGACGGTAGGAGTGCTGTCCCCCATGTTTTCAACTAGGTGGTCAAGGTTTCCATGTTATACCTGCCAGATAAGTTGACCCTAGTTTTAGGAAGATTTCTTTACGCATAAAGACTTGACTTATACCTTCTTACAGTTTATGGTAATAATCAGGTATATCCTGTTTGACCCTTTGGAATTTAACTATTTAATACTGGACATTAATATTTCTTAAATGGGAGCTTCCATGGGGTAGCATCTAGGTACTTGCCTGCAGATCCAAAGGTCATGTGTTCAAATCCAAATGCATCAGGACTTTTTCCAGGAATAGCTTTGGCTTCCAGACACAGCATTAAATAATACCTGGTAAAGTCACAGGAAGTAAAGGTGGTCTGCAAGATGCTAACCACACCACCCGCGAGTGCCGATTGGTCTATGAAATACAGGTTTAGTAGTTATGCCCAATACACCCAAAGGTGTGAAAACGGGTCCTTCACATACTGATATGTTTCTAAAATATTTTGGCTCTCCTCCGAACTTCTACCCCTGCAGTATTGCGGCCTGAAATATTAGTTCGGGGCACAGTCCAATTAAAAATATGCCGAAACAAATGCTTTAACAGGGTCTCAGCGATATGTTACTTGCGGACCTGTTTCTTATTGTTTCTGATTACCTGACAATTCTAAGAGACGCACGCAACACTGCAGACGATAGTAGTAGACGACGATAATAGTGACCGTTGACACTTTCCATTGTCGAACTTTCTGCCGACGAACATATGGTGGCAAATCTAGGATCGGCTTGGAAAAACGAAACAAATGCTCTAACAGGGTCTCAGCGATATGTTACTTGCGGACCTGTTTCTGTGACTATGCCTCACCGCAGAGAGTATCCCTCACGCTGCTACGCGCGGCGCGGTTGGGGCTAAACTAGATGGCTGGGACTCACGAGCAGCAGCTACCACATCTCCTGCAACTTCCTCCAATTACTTCGTGAGCCCCCCCCACCCCCCACCCGCGCCGCATGTAGCGGGGGATACGCTCCGCAGTGAGTTTAATCACAAGTGTGACATCATCATCATCATCAGTTCTCGTTATGCCTAGTGGCACATGAGGCCTCAGAGAGGACTTTCCATGCTTTCCTGTCCTGTGCAATCTTCAGTGCAGTTTTCCATGTCAAAGATGCCGCACTCAGGTCACTTTCCATCGTTCGTCTCCATGTTGTTTTTGGGCGCCCCTGTTTTTTCTTTCCCTCTGGTGTCCATGTGAGAGCTGTTTTGGCAGGTATATCAGAAGTCATTCTCATAACGTGGCCAAGCCATTTCCATCTTCTCTTGGTAATCATACTGTCTAAAGTTTCTTGGTTTGTGGCTTGAAGTAGTTTAGTGTTTGAGATTGTATCTGGCCAGAAAATTTTGATAATTCTACGTAGACATGTGTGGTGGAAGGTGGACAGCTTGTGTGCATCCTTTTTTGGTCATTCTCCAGCATTTTGCTCCAGGAAGAAGAACTGGCAAAATGATGCTCTTGTAGAGTCGGAGTTTCGTTCCTCTGCAGTAATTGTTGGATTTCCAGATTTGCCTCATCCTTCCAAAAGCAGCTCTAGCTTTGTTCAGACGTGTCCCAGTAGGGACACCACACTGCCAAGATATGTGAAATGTTCTACATTTTCAAGTGATTGGTTACTTATGGTCACTGGTTGTTGGTTTGGACTGTTCGTCATGATCTTAGTTTTCTTTGTATTTATTCTCAGTCCCACCATTTCTGCTGTGCAGTTTAGTCTGTTACTTTTCTCTTGTATATGTTCATGTTTATGTGATAGGAGTGCTATATCATCTGCAAAATCAAGGTCCTCAAGCATGGTGAATGGAGTCCATCGTATGCCTCTTAATGTCCTGTCTACTGTGTTCTTTAGTATCCAATCAATCACAAGGTTGAAGAGGAGAGATGACATAACACATCCCTGTCTTACACCCATCTTTACTGGGAAAGATGCAATTTTTTATACTGCAGGAAAAGTCTTTATAGAAGACAGCAATTATGTTGACTATTTTTTTTTGGGAATTCCATAATGTCGTAAAATTTTCCACAGACCGTCTCTATGGACGCTGTCAAAAGCTTTCTGAAAGTCCACAAAATTAATATATATACTTCTCTGCCATTTGTTGCATTGTTCTAAAATGTTACGTATGGTGAAGATGTGCTCAGTTGTTCCTCTGCCCTTTCTGAATCCTGCTTTTTCCACTCGTAGGCATTTCTCTACTCCTTTTTCAAGCCGCATTATGATGATTTTACAAAATATTTTGCTTGGTACTGAGAGTAGAGTAATTCCCCTCCAATTATTGCAGTCTGTTAAGTCTCTTTTTTTTGGGGATTTTGACTATTGTTCCTTCAGTCCAGTCATCAGGCAACACTTCTTTTTCCCAAATATCTTTGAACAGTTGTGTTGGGATCTACTTTGAGAAGTTCTGCTGGCAGTTCGTCTTTGCCTGGTGCTTTGTTGTTCTTTAAAGTGTGGATAGCTTTAAGGATTTCTTGTTTGCTTGGTGGTTCAGTAATAATGTCAATGTCCTGAGAGGCTGGTTGAATATCTAGGGGATCTTCAGGATCAGGTCTGTTCAAGAGGTCGGAGAAGTGTT